GCGGAACTCAGGGAATGAGGTGCACGAAAAGAAGGGACTGCTTACGGTCTAACTGTGTAGAGCCTTTTTTGTATCTTTACCTTTCACATCAATCACCAACGATCTATTCAGCAATAGGGTCGAAATATTTTCTTGATCCTGTTTCAAAAACAAAAGCAATACTCGTTGCAGAAGACTTTATGACACAAATCTTGGGCGTTACAAGGTTAGTACAATACATGCTGATGTAATAAGGCAAGAATCCTAACATTGCATACACTAAAGTCATATGCGGCAGCTTACAAGCTTAATTGGCTCGCTCGAGTTATTCTTTGTTTCCATGGTGTGCGCGTTGGAAAATTCTAGGGCTAGGCTTCACACACTCATTTAAGATACTTTGACATGTTGCAGAAAAATGACTTACGTTCGCGCAACCCTGTACCATTGGTGAACGTATTATTGATATAAAAGAAAAAAAAAATTAAATACCACGGCTCTTTCAATACAAACCTGCACCTGCCATTCCTCCCCAATTGGTTTGATATCCACGAGACAAACTGGTAATGCCTTCCAGGACGAAAAATCAAAGTATTTGTCACAACCTTTCGCCTTTCCTCTAATTTCCACTTGGTGTAAAATTGTTTCAGCTAAATAATAACACTTATTTTGCGGCATCTACATACATACATACATACATACATACCAACATAGGTTAGTTGACCACTCCCCGTGGGGCTTTTCAGGATACCTGAACTAAATAACCCCTCAATTTTTCCTTTTCCATGCTTTTTTTCCTTCTCACAGTTTCCTATGAACGTTTCAATTTGCTCTCGCTTATTTTGCGAGAGATGGTGTTTCTCATGTTTTCCTCTGAAATTTTCCGCGGGAAATTGGCGCGCGGCCGGCCAGTATTGATCCCGTCGCGCACGCTCAACGTTTGACCGCTGCGTTGCCTGCAACGGAGCCCACGCTATAGAAATCGAGCTAAGCTCCAACGGTTCTTGCAAGTCAGTCTCGTATGCAGACTTCAACTTAGCCTTCACTAGTGAAAAATACACCTACATCCTTCTAAAACCCGCACCTGCTTTGGAAGTCTCAGAAACATGTCAGGAAGTTTCCTGATCTCGGAAAATGTCAATTTTTCAGAGTTTCCAAAGTCTACATACGTCACGTCTACGGTTTCATCGCTGTTTACAGCTATAAAAAATAAAAGTTAGAAGAAAATGGTTCAAAAAAGTTGTGACAGGCCTTACACTTAAACGACAGCTCAGGGTGGCCTTGATGTTTAAAATGAGGAACTGGTTCTCAATCAAGTTACACGTTCCACATCTATGTCAACAAGCAAACAATATTCAACAGCTGCTCATCATAAGTACAGTTCACACTTATCACTTGCACACTGGCCACTTATCACATGAACACTTCAAAGTACCGTGTCACACTTAACACAACATGTACTGTGTACACTTCTCGTGTATACACTTGACAGTTTCTAGCACCCTTACCCGTAACAAGAGCTCTGTACCAAATTTTGTCTTCTGTGAATCTCGCCGCACAAACAAGACCTGCGTGAGAATAAAGTAAGATTATAACAAGTCAAGACATGTAATTTCAAGCATCTTTATCCAAGTACAAGCTTCCATCCCTTTCCACCTGCAGTGGTGTACATAATCTTGGTCTATATTAGAGCGCTTTTCGATAAAGTGACGTTAGGAGAGAAGAAAATATCTTTAAGAGCAAAGGAAATTCAAAGTAAAACCCATCATACTGCTTAGAGCGCTGAAAAACGTGGGCAACCAAGTCGCGATTTTATTCAGTTTTGCATCTGATTGGTTGAGAATATGGCATGAGTTTTTCTGGACCAATCAAAGGGCAAAGTTTAGTAAAACCAAAGCAACCTCGGATTACTTCCGACACTAAATTGAAAATTGTTTAAACAAGACAAAAGTTTTCTATGTATTCACAGTAAAATGACGTTTTCGCTTTCTATACCTGGAGCACTGGAGGTGAGGCAGAGTCCTCACTGAGAAATGGTAGCAGGAAGGTGGTGTAAAGTAAATGGAGCAGTCTTTGATGACCAATGAACTCCATGAAGAAGAAAGGGTGGATATTTCTTCCCAAAATTGACCACCGCCTGCCTGAATGTAAAGGATATTGTAAACAAACTTACCCTTGTAAGGCCACGGGACACTCCACTCGGTCCCACGCCTCCTTCCGCCAAACATCTTGCTCATCTCCTCCATAATATGTTGTAGCTCTGTTGTCTCTTCACTGCACAGCTGCAAACATGGAAGCCAAAAAAATAAATACCCTAATGACACAAATTTATGATGTAATCCTGAGATAAAATTCAAAATGATTTATATGTAGATAAGCCCATCAAATACTACACACAAATAACATTGATAGTCACCATGTAAGATTTTAAGCAAACTGCAAAATTGTTAAAAAGCTTGAACCAAGCTACTACCGTTTTAGTCACCATGATGTTGCCCATCACGTTTGCAGCAGATTTCGCCAAAATCGAGACCCGTGTTCAATGGCCACGTAGCTAGTTGTAGCGCTTTATCATTCAGTGTATCAGCGGTCTATCATTATGGCGAGATAGAAATTCGCCGTAAACATAATGCAACGTTGCACAAAATGTCCTTTTCCTTTTTAATCTCCTTCCCTCCCCTTCCCCCCCTTTTTTTTTCAACGCCAATGGTCTTAACTCTGGCGGTCATTTATTACTATCGGGTCAACAAATAGTTACCCTGGAAAAGTTAAACTTGGAGCGCTGTTAACAACCACTATTCAGAAGCGTTCCATCATACGTTGAGCCTTTGCCACTAAATTGGAAGCTACTGCATCGAGACAATATACCAACCTTTTGCATATAAATTTCATCAGGGGCGGCAATATGTGTAACAAGCACATCCACAAACGCTCCTTCCTCGATATGACAAGCTTCTTTGTAGGTCTTCTTCGGAAAGAAAATGCCTGAAACAAATCAACAAAACAACTGCAACTGCATGATAGCCATAGCTCAAAACTACCCCTACATCAGTCTTATAAGTCACTTATTCATTTATTGATTTATTCAATAGAGAAATTTTCAATTGAGCGTCGAAAGTAATCTAGGATTGCTTTGTTTTTGCCATACTTCGCTCTGTAATTGGTCCAAGAAGCTCGCGCCCCTCACCACTTGGTCGCCCGCGTTTTCCCGCGCTTTAGGCAGCTTGGTTGTTTTAACTTTGAGTTCTCATTGGCTCTTTAAGCTTTCTTCCTTTCTTTTGATTGGCCGTTATGATTACGTTTGGTTTTGGTTTTATGACACTCAATCGAAGAGTGCTCTATACCAGCTGATTTACAAACCTGTAGGTTTTGAGGCAGGAGAAGAGAAACGAGCCACTTCCAAGAAAACAAGGGCATCACGAACAGACACAGGTCTGTCATCGTCTTGAGTTGGTTCATCATCTTCAGGACGTCGCAAGTCAACCACCAGCTTATTTCCCTTCCTTCCAACCACCTAATAAAGCATGCAGTTGATACTGTGCTCTTAACATTTCCTAAGGTGCTAATATGGAGAGTTTGTCTAGCAATCAAGGGGTTCTTTAGTTGGTGATCATTTCCTTTATTCTCCTGACCTTAATGTGTGATTCAGGGGTGATATTGTAAGGAGAAATTAGAAGCTCGTCTGTCTTAGGGGTCAAAGGGTTAAATATGAACAAATCTAAACATGGATTTGTTTACAAAACCCTCCTTGGCCAGCCGCTAGTACCTCCCTCCCCTTGCAGAGCAAGCAGTGTTTTACTCCTGTTAAAATCTTACAAGCAGTAACCACAACAAATTAATAAAAGTTATTGATCAGAGTGGAATGGAATTTGGTGAGAAGTCATACGAGTGATTCCAAAATTAAACGAGCATGCAGTGCGAGTTTGATTTGAAACCACAGGTAAGTTTTCAGACCAAAATTTCATGACATGAGGTTCAATTACCACTGTACTGTATATATATTGAAATCACAAAATTTGGTAGCTCAGATACAGGATTTTTTAGTGTGTAAAATTAGTTTATCAATTCTGCACTGGGCTGGTTTGTAAAAACATGAAAAAGTTGTCTTTACTTTCCTCTGATATTATTGATTTCTTTAAACAAGCCTTGAAATCTGATTGGTTGTTATGTTATGGTGGCGATTCATGAATACATCGTGTTAATGAGAGCCAATCAGATTCCAAAGACTACCACTCATGTTAAAATGGATGTAATAAAGAGGATAACCTAAACCCTGTGTACAGATATGCAAATGTAATGGGTTTGGCAGCCAACAAGGAATTGGTCTATGAACTATGTCAGTTGTTCATTTAGTCTCGGAAGATTTTCTTATTGAATATTAAGGATCTTTGCACCAATTGTTTACCACAGAGGTCACTTGATTGAGCATAAATCCTTAAAAGATCAAACCATTCCCTTGAAATGATTACACTACAAGTCACTAAAGCTAAGTTGTACAAAATAATTAATTTAGCTGATTGAACTTACTGTCATCAACAAAGGTTTATCCCCAGTAAGACTTCCAAATGCCTTTACTGCTTTGGGTGGCCACTTTTCCTCCTTAACAAAATATAAAACACATTGGATCCAGTAAGGCACGCTTCCTCATAGTCAATTAAGATCCATAAAAAAATCCTCCCCAACGGCTGCTTGACAATTTCTTGTATGATTTTGGGATTAAAAGGTTAAATACCCTGCAGAATAAAAATCAAAACAAACCTGGAATGGAGGCACAATTTCTGCCAAACAGCAACATTCTCCAAGTTCAGGAACATTTAGAAATTCTGCTTTCATCTTTCTCAACCTGGAATAGATCAATGCATCGCTACTACGAACTGTTGTATGAACCAACTACCAAGCTCTTCTCAGGGCTACAGACTAGTACAAATTCAGTTTGGATTTCCATTTCCAGTTTGGCAAGTAAACAAACTGAAATAGTTGTAACATCTAAGTTGTTGCCAACCACTTGACTAGTAAGTTGAAAAGTTAGTGTCGAGCCCTGCCTCTTCTATTCATAGGTTTGTTTACCAGTGAAAAGAGAACTTAACCCTTTACATCTTAACATCAGTAAGCATATTCTCCATACTGTTCTCTTTACATCTCCTAAGGTGCTAACAAGGAGAGTTTGTCTAACAATCAAGAGCTTGTTTAGTTGCCTATCATTCCTTCTCTTCTCATAACCCTAATATTTGGCAAGTCACCCTTAGGGGTACCAGTAGTCTACAGTGCAGGGATTTTAGCAGGGTGAGTTAACATTACAAACTTGCCATTGTTTATTTGACTGGCCATGTTTGATTTAGAGTTAGAGTGGATGGTGGGGGAGAGGGGAGACAGGACAGGGGAGAGGAGTGAGGGAAGAGGGGAGAGGGGAGAGGAAAGATGGAAGAGGAAAGAGGGAAGAGGGAAGAGGGGAGAGGGGAGAGG